TTTTTTTTTCTTTTGGCTTCTCTTTTCACTTCCTATACTTTTGGTCACTTAGTCATCACACTTTTAATTAGTGTCAACTATATACCAGGAGCTGTACTATGCACAGGAGCCGGAAAGGTTCCTAACCACAGCAGAGTGGGGAGAAATGATACCTTAACCCAACCATTTAACACAACATGCAGGGATCAAAGAGGATGGTGCAAATGGTCTGGGAGTACAGGTGGCCTCCCTATTTGCCTTACGTTTATCATTTTTTATTGTAAGTTTTTTTCAGTGATAGGTACAAAATGAGTGACCTTGAGTAGTCAGTATTAGTCTTTATCATTAATCTTTACTAATCTTAATCTTATTTCTAATCTCCACTTATGGTCTTCAGGATACGACCTAATTTACTTGAGGCTTTGGGTGAAAAGGCCGATATGGACTCATAGAGTTTAAGAGGTTAAATAATTGACAGCAATTAGGGTCAGTCATTATGGTTCTCTTTGACAAAATGAAAGGTATTTAGGTTTCAAATAATTGTACTGACATTTGATTAATTAACTTTCCCACATGTGATCTAGGAAAGAACCATGACTACAAAAGGTCGGCGGGGGGGGCAAAACTATGTCCCCCTCTAGAATTTGGAACGTAAGGACAATACCTTCAGTGAACCAAATTCTAGCACAGTTCTGGTTTCCAGGAGTTAAACTGAAGCCTCCCACAAAGGAGATAATAATAAAATGCTGGCCACATGGGTCTTCTGAAACTTTTTGTAAATGAGGGTGTGGAAAATTCCCACTTCCTAGAAAATATCTTCAAAGTCTCATTTGACATTTAAGCTTCCACTTACTAGGATGTAAATATTTATTGTAGAATAAACTTCAAAGGCAGATTTCTCTCTGATATCAGAATCCTGACTCTCACATCTCTTCCCCACCACATTTCAATCTCACAAGAAAGGTGCTTTTGAAAATTGTTGATGAATAGCCTAGAATTATTAAAGGTGTTAGCTAGATCAAGTCCTTTATTAACAAGACTCTCTAAGTGAGAAGTTGGAAGCCTTAATTTATTTTATAAAATAATAAAAACTCCTTACTTATATACATTTTTCCTTTTGATATTAAAAATAGTCCTGAAAGAATAGGGCATATTATTAGCATTTGTCCTAATGATAAAATGGAATCTTAGGGATTCAACTAGAATTTGACTGGTGCTAAGCCTTGAGCTCTTGAGTTACTTGTTGTAACTGTCACACATTAAATAGAAGGTCATGGTACTCTTATTTTTCCAGTGCCTTTCATTCTTGAAAAAGACTATTATGCAATCTGAACAGAGCTCATTTACCACCATGGAGAAGTTCAGTACCTGAGAAATGACCGGAAGAGGGTAGCCTATCAAAACAAGATAAAATGACGTTTATTTACCTCCAAATGTTGCAACAGCTTCTACTGCCCCATTATAGATCAAAGAATCTTGGGACGGTGCCTTGTAATCCCACAGGATTTGAACATAATTTAAAACCTGGTTGAAACCTGCTGTGGAAAAAGCCCACCACAGGGACCAGTAAAAAAGATGCTTTGAGGAGTAGCACTCCTTCAAATCTTGGAACCACTGCACGAAAACTCTCAAAGTCATATTTTTTGGCTTTGGGCTGCTCAGCTGGTCGTCATTCACGTTCCCTGAAGCGGCAGGCACTTCCGAAGTGGATTTCCCCTTTACGCAGCCTCGTGCGTCCCCTTTGTGAGGTTCTGCTGACACCGCACTAATGCTCGGTGACTTCTTTATTTCTCTGCTGGGTTTTGCATGAAAAAACATGCTTTTCTTGGGCATTGGTAGAAAAAGTGAGAAAATGAAGGCCACAGAGACAGAGGCCAAGGATATGACATTGAGGTAAAAGTACGACAGGTTTGCCAGGGATACCAAGAGTTGGGCCAGCACGGAGGCTGCTGTGTAGGCCACCAGTGTGACGCTCCGGCAGTAGCTGCTCACTTTCTGATAGTGCTCTGGGCTGACCACGCTGTATATGTAGGCGTAGTAGGCCACCTCGGTGGCGGTGACCATACCGTAGAAGAACTCGACAACCTGCATGGTCATGACTCCTTGGCCAAACAAGAGCAGCAGCCAGGTAATGATGAAGCTAATCCCTTGTAAGACGATAACGGGCTTGTAGCGGACGTAATCGGTGAGGACAAACACAGGGAGCAGCAGCACCAGGTAAGAGTACGTCCAAACGGGAAAGATCTCATTCGTGATCTGTGAAATTGATGGAAATTATGGAAAAACGTAATTGGAAAACTGATTATCAAGGAAATCACTAAGAAAAGATAGTTCCTTCCCCACTGGGGAAAAAAACCAACCAATTTATAGACTTAAAGTATGTATCAATATGTATCCCAGTAGAAGAAGAATATATTGGGCTTAACGTGCAATCTGAATAGATATTAAGTTTAAATAGTATTATAGTTCAGTAAATTTGTTAAAAACTGTTCAGACACTTCTGGGTTTTTCAGGTGTGTAAAAAATATTATTCCCTTCTTGTTCAAAGATTAACATTACATAAACAAGCTACAACGTTAAAAGAATCTGACAGCCTTTATCTTTATTTGATGCATCACTATGTCAGAAATTTCAGCCCTTCCGAAGTCTGGAAAGGTACATGCAAGTAGGAAAAGAGTAAATAACTTTGCAGAATTACACAGTGGGAACAAGGAATGCATTTCATTTCCTTCCTGGAAAAATTTGCTGGGCTCCCAATCCTTTCCCCCCATAATTCTACTGACTTGTGTGTGCTTTCACAATTCTGGCCTCAATATAACATGGGTAAACTCATGGATTTAGTAAGAAATGCACGGGACTTCAGTTTTCATAGAAAGAAAGGACTGAAGAAGTTGTTGATCTGTGGGGCATGACAGGTGAGCCCAGCGGCCTCCCAAATCACAGTACTCGCACTTCCCGTTGACACCGGGGTCCCAAGGCTGCCGGGCAAAGCAGGGGGCACAGAACACAGGCCAGTGTGACTAAGCTGTGCCTTGGAGGGAGGGTCTATTAACTGGTCTTCGGTGGTTACAGAAGCAGACCCAGGTGGGTTCACTGAGCTGATGGATTCTGGACGTACATCCGTCCTTTGCTGTGTTGACTGTGACATGCTTCAACCTGAGAAACTGAAACAGAGTCGTCCCTGCGTGATTTTACACCACAGAACAAGCTTGCCTTTCTGTCCTTACCACCTCACCATCAAATAAAGCAGTACCAACGAGGCTCCCAGGTGAAGCCACACACTTTATACAGTGTTTTCATGGCTACACCTGGAGATTGTAAAATCAGCCCAGAGTAATTCTGCAGCTGGGTCAGTGCATTTTCTTGTTGGACTTGTTATAAGAAAAAGAGGTCGATCTTTTTAAGTAAGAGAATTTGGCCTTCCAGGGAAGGAGGTAAGGGCTGGGAGATAAAGCTGTTAATGCCAATACATAGTTTTGTAAGACTAAGTGTCCTAAAGAGATGCTACCATTCTTCGTGAGATCCTGCTTCTCTCTCAGCAGCCTGATAGTTCATTAGGACAGGATCCTGTGCCTGGTGGCAATGTTATTTTAGGATTAGCGTAACAGATCAATGGAGACCTTAAAGCTTCCTGTGCATTAAGACTAATGTTAGGACTCTATGAAAGGTAAAATATTTCTTACACAGGTAATGTGTTTTGGCTGCCCAGTTTTGCAAGGGTGAAGAGGAAAGAATAGTTTCAACAGTTCTATTATGTGAAAGATGCTATGAAATGGGATGTGTGTTCAACTTATCTCAAGCTGAATGAAGCCCTGACTCCATGTCTTTGCTTCAGTTCTACAAAATAGAACCACATTAAGACATGTATATATTATGCATTAACTCACCTCTGCGGTGGTCAGGTTTTTATTCGGTCCGGATAAATATGGGATAAGGAATGGTTCTGAGGGTCTCATCATGGAGAAAAACCCAAATAAGCAGAGAATCACAGTGGGATAAACCCAGGAGCTGCTCGGAGAAGTTCTGTAACCGTCCATGGCTGATCAAATGGAAAAAAGCAAAAATTAAGTGACGTTTATTCTTTCTGGCATCTTTGATGTAATTTTAAAAACCGATTATCTTTTTTTTATGACAGGAAAATGTTTTATCCATCTACAGCTGAAATGGAAAGGTGAGTGATGAATAACAGCATTTGTTAGGGGAGCCAGTCAAGCCCTCCTTTGCCAAGGAACTTGGGATTCACTATTGCTGGGGGTGGAGCCATGCTGCCTTAGTGATCTCCATCACAAACGTGGTAACCAGTAGCTGCTGATAAATGATAAACAATGGCCAAGGAATGCTTGAAGGTGAGTAAAACACTGACTAGTGAATCGCTGGTGTATGTGTGTAAAGTACAGTGTTTCCAGCTGAACACAGATTGAGCTGTCAAACTTCTGTTATCTGCCCACTGAATTCTGCACTGACTCTGAAATCTTCAACTCACCAAATGGCATTTGTTTATCTACACATTTATCTCTCTCTTGCCCAGCATTGTGCTGGACACACAATGGACATACAAAATATCTTTGTTTCCGATCTTCCTGAGAATTTATAATTCTTCAGTTAAGAAAAATTAAACTGGATAAAGATCTGACTTTCCATCGTTTCTATAATTCCCCCATTCCACCCCCCACCCCCGTGCTATGTTAGGAATGGAATAAATCACTTCTTAGACTATCATTCCACTTTTACCTATGACTAGGCCCATTACTTCTGTAAGCCTGAAGTTTCACACTACTCAGTGAAGGCAGATAGCTAACTAATAGCACGTACTTTGTCCTAACACAGCAATTGCTTAAAATTCAAGCTTTAGCCAGGTGCAGGGTTGCATGTCTGTAGTCCCAGCTACTTGAGAGGCTGAGGCAAGAGGATCAGTTGAGTTAGAGGTCGCAGTGAGCTACGATGACATCTCTGCACTCCAGTCTGGGCAACATAGCAAGACCCCATCTGTAAAGAAAAAAGAAATTCAAGCTTTAGACATAGAGCCCAATAGAAGATCTCATTTGTCGCTGCACAGAAAAAAAATAACCAACCTTATTTTATCGTGACTATATTTGAAAACATCATGCTTTTCATGTGAATTTCACTGTGCACAAGAAAGTTGACTCTCATTTCTTCACATTTTAGATCAAGCTTTACTTCGATGTAAAACTTATAGATTTTTGGTGGTCTTGAATGTGGTTAACTTTTCTGAGATTTATAGGAGGAAAACTAACCTGCTTTGAGTATGATGTTTTTCTGCCTATTATCTCTTTAAATCCCCATAATCACTGTAAAATATGTATTATTTTCCCAAATTCCTGGGTGAGCACATGGAAGATCCAAGATGTCCAACAACTGGTTTCAAAGCACATGGTCAATATTTGAATCTGGGTCTTCTTAACTCCCATTAGGATCCTTTCCCTGACTCTACTCTGCTTCGTGCTGGTGGCCCTTCCCCCTTGGCCGCTGGCATTAACCTAATCATAACCTCTCTGCATGGTGAGGGAAGAAAATATTTTCATAAATGCATCTGTACTAAAGATCGTGGCTTCATATATAGAGCTTCTAGGGACAATTACAGTTTGAAAACAGGCCAGTGAGAGGAAAGAATGTGCTCATTCCAGAAGAGCTAAGTCACCTGGATGGAATTCCAGGTATCCAGGCAGAGGAATTTGCTAGGGGCTGGGAAGGACCTACTGGGTCATACCATGGCTTGTCACCCACCCCACACTTTTACAAGTGGCCCCAGACAGTTGCATAATTCCCCTCTTAAGTTAAATAAGGTAAACTCTGCTTCTGCTTATGTTAACAAAGCCCTTGATGAAGCAGTGTGGACACAATGGTGATCAGATTTTGGAACTGGAAATACAGCAATGGTAAGCAATGCCGAGAATGTGAAAATTTTGCCCAGGGCAAATTAGGGTTGACTGTTCACTTACTCCATCAGCCCAGAAGGCATGGGCTTTCTCTTCTTTCTGGAATGCTGCTGGGTGTGCTGGGGCTCTCTTTCTTTGTTACTATGGTCTTACAGAAAAGGCTGTCCTGGTTGGGCAGTTACTGTGGCATCGCCATCCTTAGAAGAGTAGTCTTGCTGGGGTGGCATCTGCTACTGTGCGTCTGGGGCCCTCTCTCCATCTATGCCGACCTGGATTTGTTCACTAACTCCAAGTCATATCTTTTCCATGTGTCTCAGAGACCCAGGACTATGCCCATGTTCCCTGGGCTGCTAAAAGCCCCCTGGATTATCTATCTCTTTGTCTCTTTACGGTTCTAATACTGCTGCCCAATTCTATTTAGTTGGGAAGGTCCAGCAGAAAGAGACAACATATGCCCCACTGAAGTGTAAGCCCCAGGAGGGCAGGGTCATTGTCTGGTTCACTGCTCTGTGCTAAGTGTCTAGAATAGTGCCCGACACATAGTCAACTCTCAAGGAAAATGCTGAATAAATTGAATAAAGAAACAACGGCAGCCTACGTGGAGAAGAGTTGTGATAGAGAAGGAGGGGTGTCAGGAACAGGCAGGAGTCCAGAAGTTGGGGAAGGCAATGTTGTAGAAGGAAGGGGATGTAAGACGAGCCTTATCATTGAGAATAAATGCGAGTGCTATCTGGTTTTCCTGAGTGCACGTCACTTCCTCGCTGCATCAGATAAAGGCCAGGAAGGTCCTCAACTTCGCAAGTGCCTTGCAGTTTGGTCGCTCCTCCGTAAATGGGATAAAAACCTGGGTACTGCCAAGATCATTACCTCTCCAACCGGAGGAGCTTGTAACTAACGGAAGTCATTACATATTAGTCATCTTTTATTCATCATCTCTTATTCTTATTTTATCATTGAGGATATGCTGCTCTTTTTTGTCATCCCAATTATGACAATAATAATTGAATTACTTATGTAATCTCTTTCTATACTTTTTACATTTGTAATGTATTTTAATTTTTCTTTGCCCATTTTGTGAATTAGGTAAGAGGTGGTATTGTCCTCATTTTTTAGTTGAGGAAGTGGAGGCCCACGGGCAATAATATTGTGCTGGTTTTCACATTTCACAAACATAAGAGCCTTGGTTTGGACTCAGGTTTTCTAATTCCAAGTTTAGTAATAGTTTATCTTATCATGAGTCTGGCGTAACCTCAAAATTCCAATTCGAGTTTATTTAGAATAGTGTGTGTTTTTTTTTCTTTTTTTATAGAATGGTGTTTTTCAGATTGTGGTGTCAAAGAAATTTAGTG